TTTATGTTTGTTTTCTTAGAAACAAGCATGTTTCTTTGTGCGGGTAATACGGTGTTTTATTATGTTTACCTTGTATAAAACATAACCTGTTTATTTATATTCTTTGGTTCTGTTTATTAAAAAGCATGATTTTGCTATGCTTGTACTATTTTGCTATTAAAATAAATTTTTAATATTTGTAAAAGAAATACACAACTGATTAATATCATAAATGGCAATGAAGAATTCACTTCAGTTAGACTATCAGCCACAAAGGATTGGAAGTCAAAGAAATAGCCCAAGCCCTCAAGGAGTTCTTAGTTGAATATGGAGAAAACAATAAACATATATATATGTGAGACAATATGTAGCAGTAAATAAGATGATTACTTTAAGAGAAGTACACAAAGCTATATGATGGAGCAAGTGCTTCAACAGGGGATAAAACAGTTTGTTGGAGGGTTTTGATATGAAAAGAGTGAGCTAAGATGTACCTGCTGTGTGATTAGTACTAGGCTAGGTGCTTTGCCTGCCCTCAGCAGTCCTGCAAAGGAATGATTCTAACTGCTAAGTGGAGCCTGTGAGGATTCCTCAGCGATTTCTCGAAGTCCAAACAGAGGGAGGATGTTTCGTGCCAATGGCAGATCAGAGCGGGGGAATATGGGAGAAAAGAGAGTGGGATATCTGCAGTAGACCCTGTCTGCTAACAGGTATGAATTCATCATTAATACCATAAGTATTAGCAGTTATTCTCAGAATTCCCTCTGGGAAAATCCTGGCCCACAGAAGCATTTCTAGGGAAGGCTAATACAGATGGTCCCTGACTTATGATGGTTTGATTAAGGATTGTTCAACTTCGAAATGGGTTTGAGTATTAAATGCATTTTCTCCTTATGATATCTTTGACTTAAAATGCGTTTATTGGGATGGAACCCCATCATAAGTCAAGGAACATCTGTACTGTTTCTGGGGGAAACCTTCCCCCTGTGCCAGAATGCCTGGACATCAGAGCACCTGGTGAGGTAGGTTCCTTCTTTTCCCAACCACATGGTATATAAGAAAGTGGGTTCCTCTCTCCATACCTCTCACGAGTGCTTGGCATGAAGGTCAGGGCGTTACACTGTGTCCCTGTTTCAGGCAAAAAGCAAGAGAACTACTATATGCAGAAGATCACTTCTATTTCCCTCCCCCCCCACTACTTTAGATACACTGCAGCAAATTCATGTTTCTACCAAACTCTTCCTAGCCAAGTAGACTACACAGCAGAGTGCCAGGCTGAGCCTACGATCTGCTATGAATTCAGGCTGTCTGGCCATGATGTCAAGCAAGAGTTTCTTAAACCATCTGTGGCAAAGGATCTGATTTTCTTCCTTTCGTTTTTGTAAATTTATAATCTATCACAGACTGGGATTTTGTAAACGTCAATAAATTCTTAGAAAAATCAAGCAAAAATATACAAATGTCACAATCAGTTTTTAAGCACTTAAAAGTGGCATTTCTTTACTTATCTTGCTACCAAACAGTGTGCACAACAGCCCAGTCTGTGGACCACATTGTGAGTAGCACAGGTCTAGCTGACTGCAGGTAAAAGGAAGTAAGAGCCTTCTTGAGAAAGAATTCACCTGAACAGAGAAATGGTTGAGGAGCACCTGTTTTGTTGATGGAATACGGGCATCATTATAGGGGAAAGGTGATTCAAGCACATTCATAACTGTTACTCAGCCCCTCCTCAGCAAATCTAAAGGAACGTTCACCAGAGTCTCTAGTGCACAGACAATGAGGTTGCACGTTGTGTCCCATTTACAGCTGTGAACAAAGATGGCACCCTTGGCCTTAAGCAAGGGTTGTGTAACCTTGTAGACAATAGCAGCCACAACCTGCCTTGCAGTAGCAACAATGGCCAGGCTTGAAGGAAAAAACAAAAAACTCCACAGCACTCCAGCCTTAGTGACAGAGCAAGACTCTGTCTCAAAAAAAAAAAAAAAAAAAAATGCATACGGGTGCCAGACTGAGTAGGAGTGGACTGTGAAGGTTAGTTTTATGTGTCAACTTGCCTAGGACACATTGCCTAGTTATTAAAACATGAGTCCAGGTACTGCTGTCGATGTATTCTGGAGAAAACATTTGTAACCCCTTAAATTTAAGTAAAAGAGAATCCTCCACAATGTGGGTGAGACTCATCCAATCAACCAAGGGCTTTAAGAGAAAAACTAGGATTTCCAAGAGGAAAAACTTTTGCTCCCAAACTGCAGCCTCAGCTCCTACCTGAGACTTTCCAATCTTCTGGCCTGTCCCACAGACTTTAGACTTGCCAGTCCCCACAATCATATAAGCCATTTCCTTGAAATAAATACACATCTATCCAACCGGTTCTGTTTCTTTGGAGAGCCCTGATAGAGACAACTTTCTTCCCCAAATATCCCATTTTATTGTTTGCTGAAATATTTTATTTCTAATTTTATTATTTTTGAACAGTTAAAAACTCAAAAGTACAATGAAGTTTACAATGAAAAGACTCACTCCTGGGATCCTTATCTCTCAGGTATCTAGTTCCACCCCTTGGAGACTACCAATGTGATTGGGTTTTTCCACGTATGTCTTCAGAGACAGTCTATCATATACAAATATGAATGCACACATATTTTTTCTTCTTATACATAAATTATAGCATGCCACACAGTTTCACACCATGCTTTTCTCAATAAACATTATTTTGCCTTAGAGATCTTTTCATCTCAGTACCTAAAGCACTTCATTCCTCTTGCAATGGGCAAATGAAATGTTTCACTAATCCTCTATAATTTATTACCTAAAGTGAGACCTTGAGAGTGAAAGGAGCACTATTAATAATTATACCAAGAACAGCAGGTATAAACTAGTAGTGTTCAAGAAGCCAGAGCACACGATTATCATGGGCTACTAGAGCACAGGATGATATTTAGGTTGCTTCCAATTCTTTGATAGTACCAAGTTGCAAATAATATACTTGTAAATACATACTTTTCCACATCTATGTGCTTTGTTTGGTCGGATAAATTTCTAGAAGTGGAACTGCAGGGCAAAAGGTTATGTATGTGAATTTAAAAGTTTTATAGAGACTGCCGATTGCTATAATAAAGAGTATAACAAGTTACACTTCCATTAGCAGGGCATAGAAAATGCCTGTCCTAATTATAGGATAATCCTTTTCCCATTGACTTATGATGCCATCTTTATAACAGTGTTTTAAGCCCTTACATGTTATGTACTGAAGTCTCTTTCTGGGTGAGTACATACTACTGATATCTAGTTCTGCATTGAGTTATGTACTACCTTTCAAAACTAGCAATCTAGTTTTATATTACCCTTTCAAAAATTTTCTTAGTGATTTTTACCTATTTTTCTACATAACTATGGGATAGTTTATCTATTATACTCCCTCCTAAATTTTAACAATGGCAGCATTCAACATGTAAAGGTTAAGTAGCTCCATTTATTATCATTTCTTTTTCTAAGATTTTTAGATACACAATTATTACCGGCAAATAGAAATCTGGCCATCTCATTCCTAAGACATTGTTTCATGCACCACTGTACTGGCAAAAATTTCCTGAACATTATTAAATAATAATCCAGATAATGGGAATTCTGGATTTTAATGGGTACATCTAATATTTCATAATTAACTAGTCATGTGTTGCTTAACAATGTGGATACATTTGGAGACATGCATTTTTAGGTGATTTCATTATGTGAACATCATACTCTATTGAAGGAACCCAGATGGTACAGCCTACTACTACACACCTAGGCTATATGGTATAGCCTGCTGTTCTGTCCACCCTTGTACGTGGTCCATCATTGACTGAAACATCATTATATAGTACACGGCTGTATTTATAGCTCTTTGAGGGAAAGCATTATATCTCTTGCCTCTGTATTATCTGTAAAGGCTATTTTCTTGCCCATTTTAGGTGCCACTAGTCTGTGGTTCGACACCATCCTATGTATAGCTTTATCACAGCACTTTCTATACCTGCTTTCTTTACTGAACTGTAAGTTCTTTAAAGGAAGGTATCACAAATCAATCTTATATTTACACTGGAAGGAGGGAGGAAGGATGGAAGGAAGAAAAAGCAGCACATGGCCAGGTGTGGTGGCTCACACCTGTAATCCCAGCATTCTGGGAGGCCAAAGCAGGTGGGTGGATCATTTGAGTTCAAGAGTTCAAGACCAGCCTGGCCAACATGGTGAAACCCTGTCTACTAAAAATACAAAAACTTGCCAAGCCCGATGGTGTATGCATGATACTTCCAGCTACATGGGAGAATGAGGCATGAAAATAGCCTGAATCCAGGAGGCAGAGGTTGCAATGAGCCAAGATCATGCCACCACTGCACTCCTGCCTGGGCAACACAGCAAGACTCTGTCTCCAAACTAACAAACAAACAAATGAACAAACAAAGCAGCACAGTGCCTGGCTAACTGCCTCACTGCACAATTCTAGGGATAACAATCACACATATTCTATGTGAAAGGCAATCCCAGAGCATAGAAATATGATGTGATGTGAATAGTGCTTCCTAACTAAAATTGTGCAGTGTGATAGCTCTGCTGACTGGCACGCAGCTGCTCAATGCATATGTACTGAACTGTTCCAGAGAAAAATTGACTGCCAAAGAACCTATGAACAAATTAACACCTCTGAATGACAGACTGCATTCCTGAACGTAAATGGCATATTCTAGCACTGTAGTACCTCTTTCACGGAAATTAAATTAGGCTCATGCCTGAGGTTTTTTTGTTTTCTTTTTTGAGATGGAATCTCATTCTTTTGCCAAGGCTGGAGTGCACTGGGGCAATCTCGGCTCACTGCAACCTGAGGTTTCTTTTCTACTTGACAGTTTATACTACCATAAAACAATCTCCAAACCAATACCTATAAGAAACACTCATTTCTTCACGTGGCTGAAAGAGTAAATTATGTTTAGACTTTTGGAAAAAGTCTGAACAAAAAAAGGACCTATATAGTGCTCAAACTGTATTTTTAAAAATACTATTTTATTTATACTCACATATGAAAAAAATGGCTGTACTATCATCTTTACACACATGCTAACATTGGAAACCGAATTCAATAACAAATTGTACTTAAATTTTATAAGAACACACAAACATTAAAACACTGATTGGTTACAGAAAGCAGAGTTTGAGAAAAAACCATTAGCTAAAATTTTCGTTTTCATTAAAGAGCAGCACCCTCTGAGAATAATCAGACCAATTAGTAATATTCATCTATACTGTAAAATAATATATACAAAGGAAAGTTAGTGATTGTACTGATTTTATTACTTTTACTAAGCCATTTTATGTTCCTTACACTCAATGCAAAGAAATAAAACATAATTTGAAGAAAAATAAGTCCTTACTATTATTCACAACAAAAAGTTGGCTTCATTCTGCAAGCCTGGGCATATTATACAATAGGGAGCACTTAACGGCTGAAGTGGATCGATGTACCAGTTTGATTCTGATCCACTGAAGAGAATCTCATCCATATTTGGTGACCCGGCTAACTCCATGGGAGCTGTGATAGACTGAATCATTTCTATGGTATCCCCAGATCTCACTAAATAAGAAAAGACCCTACACCAGAAAATATAGCAATCGATCTGTCTATAAATTATATCTTTATGCTAGCTCTTTAGTATAAGTTGGAAAAAGGGGTCCTTTCTTGAGCACATGGATAAAAGTATTATTGTAGTCTAAAGACTGCTGGATTGATATTGTGTTGTTATAATGAAGATAAGGTACACAGTGAAACCACTGTCAGATTAAGACACTTCCACAACTTGTCTCAATTCTTCAAATAATGGAGCAAGTTCTTTTTCTAGGCTGACAATTAGTCCTAAAATAAAGAGATTAAGAAAATTACATATTAGAAAAATGTTCCTTAAAGTCTGAAACTTTAATTTCCTCTTGCCCAAAAAATATAGTTACCAAAAGTAAGTCAGAACATAGTTTATTTCCCATGACTAAAACAAAATACGGGTTGAATATCCCTTATCCGAAACGCCTGGTACCAGAAGTGTTTTGAATTTTTGCATAATACCTACTAGTTCAGCATCCCCAACCCAAACATCTCAAATCTGAAATGCTCCAGTGAGCATTTTCTTTGAATGCCATATTGGTGCTCAGAAAGTTTCAGATTTTAGAATGTTTCGGAATCCAGATTTTTGGATTAGGGACATTCAACCTGTACTATAACCCTAAATAATGTAGTCAAAAATTCCACATTCATTAACAAGTTTATTTTCAGCATCTCTTACTAAAGTAAATAATGAAAAATGCTTACATATTAGGAAATACAGAATAAATTATGTCCACTATAATTTGTTGGAGTTTTGAAAGGAAAATCTTAATTCATACCTTACTGCTTCAAAAATCTGCATTTACTCAGAAAGAATATATATAATTTTTATTCAATAAGGCATACTTTTGTCTCTGAGCAAATTTTAACAGATTACATCAAAAGATAGGTAAATAGGCTGCTTCTATATTGAAAAAAGGAAATCAGAAATGTATTTTTATAAATTCAATAAAGCTAAGACATTAACAAATATTTCAAATAAAAAACAGTTTAAAAATAAATGGTAGAGTATGAAACACACTGTTGAGTTCAATGATGAACCTGGGAGATAAACATCTAGAAATCAGCATATCTAGCTTCTTTTTAGTTTACTAGAGTCAAAGCCTATGTACCTTTATATGTTCAAACAAATAAAGATCTTTCTCTGTCTTATAGAATATAAAAAGCATCTGGACTCTCAAGGAAAGGGTCTAAATACAAAAATATTGTTCTGAACATTATCATAATATATAACAACTGGTGACTTTGTAATGTGATGACTGGTGATTTATCAAAATTGAGGTTAAGTATACTTAAAGTGTTACCACCATTACTATCCTATATAATTCAGAGAGTGTTTTTACATATAGTAATTTACAAATTCCTAAAATGTTTTGAAATGAAAGAGATATAATAAATCATCAAATCTAAACCTCTCCGTCTAAAAATGAGGTATCTAAGAACAGGCTTCAGTGACATAGCTAGAAGAACTTGCTAAGCTTAGGAGGAAAAAAACCAAACAAAAAAAATACATGACAATTCTCAACAGGAATCCAATCTAAAGGAGACAGACCTTTTTAAAAAAAATCCTACTTTATCCAAAATGAAGTAAAAAAAATTACAACCAAGTGAATAGTCATTATTTTACACACAAATACGGTGGAATTTTACTATTCTCTATGAACAGTACAGCTTCCTAACATTTGTTCTTAAATTCTTCAGTTCTCAAGAAGAATGAGACTATGTTCATCCTATTCATGCTCTTTAAATTTTCAATCACATTCATTTTGCCCATTAGGTAAAAATTTAAAAATTCTAATTTAATAGATTGGTCTATAACTTATCTTTGATCATTTTAATGTATTTTGTTGGTTATCTTCACTTTCTTTGTTTTCTTAAACTGCTGTAATGGGAGCAAGACTAGCACTCAAGATAACATTTAATTTTCCTTTCTGTCTCACAAAAAAATCACTTACCCACACACTGTCTCATTTGAACTAGAAAATAACACTGTAAGATGGAGAAAGCATGTATTATCTCCATTATACAGATATGGAAACCAGGATTCAGAGAAATGACTTTTCTCAAGACACAGAAAAAAGATAGTGAAACTGGGCCACAAGTTCAAGATTTTTGACCTAAATCTATGATTCCTCTTAAATTAAGGTATGGTAATTAAATTAATTTTTAAAATTAAGAATTAAAAGTGATATTGAAGGTAATGATACACACCTGTATTGGCACTGCTGCTGGCTATGAAACTCACCACCAAAGGTAAACGATTAAATTGAACCACCTAAAAAGAAAATAAAAGCTAAATAATATGCTGCATTGTGAAAAGGTAGTATAACTCAATTAAAATGTCTTAATCTTTCAAAAACTTTAAAATGGTCAATGTTTTAGACCAACATCATGGTATTACATTATGAAATATAAAGGAGCTTCATATTTCAATGAATTTTCCATAAAACAGAATTAGCGATAATCTCTTAGAGACATTAATACGGTTTAGCCTGGAAAGTTTTTCAGGTGAAACCATGGCTTCATCTTTTTATCTCTAAAGCCCAGCAGAATGTCAATTACGTCGTAAGTACTTAAGGGGGTGTTAATTAAATGGATAAATGCAGTATTTCTCAGTCACTCAAGAAGTTTTATCTTCATGATATTTTCTGGCTCCTATTACTGTAATTTAAATTAAACTTAAAGTAACTTTAAATCAACTAACTTAAAAAAACAACAACGACTTAGTTTCAATCTAATCCTTATTGATGAAATTAAAGGTCAGATGGTTTAGGTATATTTTTCCTAATACACATTCAAACACATAACTTTGTAAAAGATGTGCCTGGTGCAGTGGCTCATGTCTGTAACCCCAGCACTTTGGGTGAGGTGGGTGGATCATTTGAGACCAGAAGTTCCAGACCAGCCTGGCAAACATGGTGAAACTCTATCTCTACTAAAACTACAAAAATTAGCCAGGCCTGGTGGCACATGCCTGTATGCCTGTAATCCCAGCTACCTGAGAGGCTGAGGCATGAGAATCACTTGAACCTGGGAGATGGGGGTTGCAGTGAGCTGAGATGGTATCAGTGTACTCCAGCATGGGCAACAGAGCCAGACTCCGTCTTGGGGGTGGGGGTGGGGGGGGGCAGGGAGAGTAACTTAACATGAACTGATTAGGAAACATTGCTCTAAAGCACAAGGAATTAATTTAGTCTTAAGAAAATGCAGCTGGAGATCAAGAGGTATGCAAAAACTAACTTCTTTCCCACAAATAGTAGCCTCATTTATCACATATAAATATTTCAAACAAATGAAAGAATTAGCAGCAAGAGCAAATTTAATAAATTTTCAAGGGAAGTTTTTTTTAATCTGTTACTACAACAAAAAGTGTGTCATCTGAGAAAACACAGTTGTCTAGCTAAGGGCACCATCTACTGGAGGTAACAGTGATCTGATATACTCTTTTTAGGATGACATGTACCGTATTAAATCACTTAATTACTTTTCCATAGTAATTATTTCCTGGTATAAAATGTGAAGAAAATCACTACAGTTTAACACAATCAATTTGAAGGCTAAAATTTTACAATTTCATTCTCTTCAAAACTAAAATTGCAAACTATAACACAAGCTATTTTACGTACAAAAGGCACAAAAATGACAACCAAAATCAGCAAATCATTTGATAATTATGAACTTACCTGGTAGGTGTTATAGTAACAGATGATACTTTTATTTTTTGAAAGTCCAAGTTTGCTCCCTTGGTCTGTTGCAAGGGCAAAAGTGGATAAGAAACCAGGTCGCAAAGCATGCTCTGGAGCATTATCATTGGCCACTAGAAAAATAAGTGATTTAAATAAAAATTACACAGAGAATATGGTAGAGAGTTTTACAGCACTTTTGTTTTTTACATAAACAGTCTCTTAAAAACAGCACAAAGATTATGTTTCACAATATTCAAAATCATATCTATCACTAATTGGGTCTCATCACTAATCAGAAAAAACTGCTCAATCAAAAGTTCACTTATCACAAGTAAGAAGAAATGCTGACTCACAATTTAAAAATAATTTTTTTAAAGAAAACTAAATGTTTATATTTTCTTGATATCTACCTTAAAACATAGATTAATCAAGTACATTTAACTGGTTATCTCAGGACTAGGCTAGAATAAACTAACGAAAAAAATTACAGAACTTCTGCTCTTGTAAAACCCACAGCAGCAGTCTTTCATAGATATTAACAAACTGCAGCTGCTCCCTGTTTCATGTTTCTCTCACTCATTAAAAGGTCTGCACGGAGTTTGTTGTATTAATGAGTGCAGGACTCAAGGCTTTAATACAGAGATCTTCATGAAGAACATTAGAGCTGGAAAATCTGAGATTATTTTGTTCAAATCCCTCATTACAGAATTAAGAGAAGGCAAGTAATCTGGCAACAGTCATTCAACTTTTATAGTAAGTTCGAAAGCACACTGGACCACACGTCGGGAGAGGATGGGTTCTATTACTGCTTTGTTACTGACTCATGTCCAACTTTGGACTTCAATGTACTCTTTGCACTCTACCACCTTCACTTATAAAATGAAGGAACTAAATTAGTTGACTTCTATACCTCCTTTCATTTCTGAAGTCTAAAATTATCTGATATATATGACAACTCCAGGTGGAAAATAAATTGTAAACAAAATATACAGAACATTATCCAATCTTTAATTTTTGATAAAGCCATTAGTGTCCCAATACAACTAGGAACATCCATTCTCATCATACCATAAAATAGAAATAGTAAAAAATGTCTGAATCCATACTGACTCTCTGTGACATCATTTTTACCTATTATCCAAATACATGGGTATTATCCTAAAACAACTAGCAATTTGATAAAATGTGTGTATGTGTGTATACATATATATACGTAAGAGTGTGTGAATATCTAGCTGCATACATGCTCACTCTCATCACTTAGATTTACTAATGGTTTATGTTACAATGTAAATTTTTTTTTTTTTTGACATGGAGTCTTGCTCTGTCACCAGGCTGGAGTGCAGTGGTGCAATCCTGACTCACTGCAAGGGTTCAAGAGATTCTTCTGCCTCAGCCTCCCGAGTAGCTAGGACCACAGGTGTGTGCCACCATGCCTGGCTAATTTTTTTTGTATTTTTAGTAGAGACGGGGTTTCACCATGTTGGCCAGGATGGTCTCGACCTCGACCTTGTGATCTGCCCGCCTCAGCCTCCCAAAGTGCTGGGATTACAGGAGTGAGCCACCACGCCCGGCCTACAACGTAAATGTTTTTAACGGGAAACTGGTCTGTGATGAATCCACGCTTAAACTCTAGATGTTAACATGATACATGTGAGATATAATACATTGTAGATTCAAATTCAGCCTTCGACATACAAAAGCAAACACTTCCCCCAAAACTAAGACCATTTCCTAAGTTTACTAAAATCATTTTTACATGTTTGCCTTCTACACTACTCAGATACAAATATACACATTTTTAGTCAAAAGCAAAGATGACATTTGCATTTAAATGCTCAGTTTACCTTTAATAACAGGTACTCCATCTCTATCTGACACAACAATAGCATGGAGCCCTTCAACACTAGAAAAAGAAAGAAGTTAAAATATAAAATATTTTATTTTCTCAAACTATGAACCTCAAAGACATAATGATAATTCTCATGCATTTTCTGAAAAACCACAGGACCTCATTTATTGATATCCTATGTTCCTAAAATATGTTTGCCAAAATTCTCCTAGAAATGGAATCAATGTGTATTATGGAAATGTTTATAATCTTTACAAATTCATTCAGTTTATTAATAAGAATCTAAGACACAGATAACTCGCCATTAAAACTGCCAATGAATGATCATTCCATGGTTTACAAAAGGATGAAAGATTATCGGCAGTGGTTATAGTGACGAAAAAGAGCCTTTTTCCTTTTCCATTCATGTAAATATCAAGTGGCCAGTATTTGTGGCACTTAATACGTTGATACTATGAAAAACAGAAGTAGGCACAATCATTGCCTTCACATGGTTTCTGATCTAAAAAGTGAGTGTGTTAATCAATCAAATAATCTGAAAACAGCCAATGTAAAACTAAAACTGGTGGCCAGTGTTGTTAAAAAGTTCATAGGGGAATGAGAACCTAGAAAAGAGGAGGGAAGGCTTTCCTGGAGGCAGTAATATCTCAGCTGAGATGTTATGGCACTAAGTCAAAAGAAGTGGAAAAACTGTTCCAGGCTGAAGAAACAGGGCAAAAAGAATGAAGGCCATGCAGAAATCCTTTCAGTCGTGCTTATATAAGAAGCAGTAAGTAGAATGGTCAAGCTATAGCTCTAAAGTTAGAAAGACCTGGGTTCCAGTCTAGGCTCTGCTCCTTATTGTTTGTGCTACCTTGAACTAGTTATGAAACCTTTCTAAGTCTCTCAGATGAACAATATGAAAATGGGAATTGTACTTACCTGGATATTGTGAAATTTAATAACATAAGGCATGTAAAGAGTGGGCTGGCACATAATTCAAAAATATGACTTATTAACTAACACCAATGGTGTCAGTTGTGCACACTGACAATGACATAATTTATCACTAAAGTTTAAGTATTAAATTATCAGTGAGAATCTCTGGGAAATTAGCAGTTAAGAAATACATACAGTAGAGCACAAAAATACAGTGTTAAAAAATATAAGGTGACACTCCTCAACTTTCAACATTTATGCAAAACGCTTTCGTTATAACACAAAATTTATAGTCCAGTAACTATCTTATGGTATCTATAATCTGCAACTTAGAGATAGGTTCAATGTCCCTACAGCAACCTGGAATTATTCTTTGTGTTAACTTTAATGTATTAACTAAGGGGTAAGAAATATTCATATTAACCTAACGTTCAAATACTGACATTAAATTTTTTAAAATCCTATTGTCAAAAACTTTTAAGTCAGAGAAGTGTTATAAAATATGAGTGGCAAATGTCACAAACAAAATCATTTGTCTTCCTTACATTAAAAATCAGAATGAAGTAACTTTATAAATGACTTTTATACTATTTTTATTCTCCTATTGGCATGATTTCCTATGCATTCAATTCTAAGCATATTTACAGATTAAAACATATCCATAAGATTAATACATAAAACAGGCCAGGTACTGTGGCTCAGGCCTGTAATCCCAGCACTTTGGGAGGTAAAGACAAGCAGATCACCTGAGGTCAGGAGTTTGAGAACAGCCTGGCCAACATGGTGAAACCCTGTCTTTACTAAAAATACAAAAATTAGCCAGGCATGTGGTGCTCATCTGTAATCCCAGCTACTCCTAAGGCAGGAGAATTGCTTGAACCTAGGAAGTGGAGATTGCAGTGAACCAAGATTGTGCCACGGCACTTCAGCCTGGGTGACAGAGCAAGATTCTGCCTCAAAAAAAAAAAAAAAAAGATTAATACATAAAACAAATAGTCTTCTAAGTTAAAAACCAGATTATATAAAACATATCCTACAGATATTTGTATATATGCAAATTATTTTGTGCAGTTACCAAAGCAACATCATTTGAAATAATAAAATATTACAAACCCAACCATCCAATAAGAAGGACAAGGTAAGTTATGATATATACATACAAAGGAATATTCTGCAGCCATAAGAGGAAGTCTCTATGTCCCAGGAGAGGTTAATCTCAAAGTTACGTTCTTAAGTCAAAAAATACAGTTTAGAACAAGAAGCAATAAATTATGTTCCAAAATATGCAGGCACATGTGTATGTTGTGTGTATAAATATGTGTATATACATGTCTGCTCATAGGTACATAAAATCTCTCTGCAGGTAATGGTGGGTACCTCTGTGGGGGGAACTGCATGTGGCTGGAGAGGAGGGATGGGCAGCTTCTCATCTGTGTTCCTCAGTACTCTTGAACCTGAACTTTATGAATGTACTACCTACCCTCAAAATAAACAAACTAAAAAACAGGTAAAAGAGTACGACAAAAATGTTTAGAAAAATTAGTGCCACCACAGGTGGCTTCTTTTTTTTTAATTTCCATGGAAATTACTTTAAATACAACTAATGTACCAAAAGAGAAGGCAGAAATAAAAGGACTTTCTTTTTGATGGATTTCACAGAAAAAAGAATTCAAGAAAGCAGAAAAATTACACTCAAATATATACTTTGAGAAATCAGGTCACAAATATAAAAGCTGTTTTCAATTCTACATACAGTGCACAAAGAGTAATATGAATAGATTTTACTAATAATTAAAAATAACTGTGGCTCATGAAGAGATACTATACTTTTAGAAGAAATGAATAAAATTTATGAAATATTCTGAAGAAATCTAAACCTTAAGCTTATTAAAACCACAATTTTTTCTAATAACAAATGCTGTATTACTAATCAAAGACATCGTATTTAGTTTTATACGCTATTATGAAATATTTGGTTATTTTAAAATATACAAAGTGGGATTATTAAAGCCTGAGGCTGCTCTGGGTCACAACCAGATTTTAAAATGCAAATCCAAGAAGGAAATTTTGCAGAGAATTCAAAAAATGCACAAAAACACACATTCCATTAGTATCTATAGCTGGCTGACTTGGTTACTGAGAGGCACTGAGGTACAACAGTTACATGGATCCATGGCTCTGAAGCCAGGATGCCTGCATCCAAACCCATACATCTAGCAACAAATCGAAGAGTATATTCTACTATTCTTTATGAATGTTCAAAACATTATTTCTTCATTATTATTGTTCTTGGATGTAGCAAGTGTACTTTCAAGAAATGATTATTATGAGTCGAACTTGCCTTTCTTCATTGTAAAAAAAAAAGACAAACAGTATTAATACCTTTCCTGCCATTATGAAAGATTTTCATAAAGCTTTTAACAAATATCCTTTAACTGAATTTATCTCTTGGATAATATCTCAAAAACCTGATATTTTCCCTTTTGTTAAAAGATAAAAGACATCAGAATTCAGAGAAAAACAAGCATTTACTTTCCAACGATTTTTGATCAACATTAGAACTACTCAGTAATATAACAAATACTTTTTGTATTATTCTCTAATTGTTTTATATAGACAGCTTCACCATACCCAGTGTCACACACTATTATGATTTTCAGAGTACACCTAATACTTAAAATGAGATCCCCACTGTCTGAAATATTTTTGTTACTTGTAATCACAGACCATGTAATCAGAGTCAATTACTGCTTTATTTATTAGATCTCCAGGTGAATAGTGAGTATCTTTCTGGTGGCTTTACAACTTAAGAACATTCAATGCAATTTTGCTGTTTCTTTGTTTCTTCAGTAAGAGATGCTAACACTCCAAAGAAGACTGTAAACCACTAAGACTTCTAAGTGAATTAACTATGCACTATTAACTATTTCATCATACCACCAGTGTAGTGAGGCATCTCTCCATTCCAATTTGAGCACCTTTTCATTATGGTAAGGTAACTACAGAAAAATACAGAATGCTCTCATTTTGCACAGTTCCAATATGCACATTTTAGTTACTATGGCTGAGTTAAACAACACCACTCTCTGCAGAAGAGCACACGTCAAATTTTAGTTAGCATGGCATAATACCTGAATAACTGCATAAAGTATAAATTTTTTCTAACTCTTTAGTCCACAAATCACTGCATACATAATTATGTACTTAACAGATGCACAGTGTGATCAGTAACCAGTCACATCATTTCTTTCAAAGTGTGTTGATGGCTGGTCACTGTGCATCTGTTATGCAGTTCATGCAGAGATAACAAAGCATGTAGTTTTGTACCTCCTTGTCTCCAGATGATAAAGTATGTGACATTTAAAAAGAGATAATCAAAAGAGGGAACTGGCCAACAAAAATAAAATACAGCAAAGAAGTGAAAAGTAATAATGCTGGAAGTGAATTTCAAATAGAAAGTATAGAAAGTAAATAGTTATAGAAGAAATAGATGACCAAGACCAATGGAATGCTGACACGATCGCTATTAGACCCTAGATACACCGCCAGAGAACTCAGTGAAGGCAAACTTACTGACATAAATGAGCAAAGTGGTTATGATGAAAATTTTCCAGAAGACATGATGCTGGCAAAAAATATTCACATTAAAGGAAATCTCAGAGATACTTCACAACATTGAAAATACAAAGACAGAATACTTCATAAAAGAACATATGGCATACAGAATTTATTCAGTAACAAATTAAAAATTTCTTACCTTGGTAACTTTTTATACAAGAATCGCTTTAGGTCCTGTAAGCGAATATTAAAAAATCACATTGTAATAATATGCCTTCCACTGTTTTCTAGATCCTGTCCTATCCAAATTTGAGGGAATTTATCAGTCATAATATTTTTTGCTTGTATTTAACTGTGTCTGATTTTGATGTTTACTAATCATGCAACTTGGAGTAAGTTAACGAACCTTTTTTCTCTAAGCCTATTTCATTATTTGTTGAATAGGACTAATAGAATCTACAACATAAGAGTGTTGTTAAAAGTTCATTGAGAAGATGCATATATCAGCATACCTAGAAATGGGAAACACAAATACATTTTAGCCATAAAATTACATCATGATTTCATACTAGTATTTTACATCCTGTTGCTATTATGTTCGCTTGAGAAGACATTATGAACATCTTTTCATGTTCAAAGCAGACTTTCCATCATCATTTTAATGGTTTTGGGTAAGTTGATATGACTTCTGTAAGACTGTTGCCTTACATAACTATTACATTATAAAAACAGGCCTTCTGGCAGGGCTTGGCGACTCAGGCCTGTAATCCCAGCACTTTGAGAGGCCAAGGCGAGTGGATCACCTGAGGTCAGGAGTTTGAGACCAGCCTGGCCAATATAATGAAACCTGGTCTCTACTAAAAATACAAAAATTAGCCAGATATGGTGGCACATACCTGTAATCCCAGCTACTTGGGAAGCTGAGGCAGGAGAATGGCTTGAACCCAGGAGGCAGAGGTTGCAGTGAGCCGAGAATGTGCCACTGCACTCCAGCCTGGGGGACAGAGCAAGACTCCATCTCAAAAAAAAAAAAAAAAGAAAAAGAAAAAGAAAAAAAATCCTGAAAGAGAATATTAAAAAGCACATTGTAATAATATGCCTTACACTGTTTTCTAGACCCTGTCCTATCCAAATTTGACCAGCCTCGCCAATATGATGAAATCTATGGAAAAAAAGCCTTCCATTGTTGCATTATTTGAACTCACCTACTCAACAAATAATGAAAGTGTAAGGCATATTATTATAATGTGACTTTTAAAATATTCTGTTTAAGGACCTAAAATAAATTCTATATGACTATGTGAGGCAACAGTCTTTTTGAGGGGGAGGCAACGGAGTTTTCCTTTTTATCTTTTTTTTTTGAGACGGAGTTTCGCTCGTTACCCAGGCTGGAGCGCAATGGCGCAGTCTCAGCTCACCGCAACCTCCGCCTCCTGGGTTCAGGCAATTCTCCTGCCTCAGCCTCCTGAGTAGCTGGGGTTACAGGCACGCGCCACCATGCCCAGCTAATTTTTGTATTTTTAGTAGAGACGGGGTTTCACCATGTTGACCAGGATGGTCTCGATCTCTTGACCTCGTGACCCACCCGCCTCGGCCTCCCAAAGTGCTGGGATTACAGGCTTGAGCCACCGCACCCGGCCGGAGTTTTGCTTTTGTTGTCTAGCCTGGAGTGCAATGGCACAGTCTCGGCTCACTGCTACCTCCACCTCCTGGGTTCAAGCGATTTTCCTGCCTCAGCCTCCCGAGTAACTGAGATTACAGGTGCCCACCATCACACCCAGCTAAGTTTTTGTATTTTTAGTAGAGACGGGGTTTTACCATGTTGGCCAGGCTGGTCTCGAACTCCTGACCTCAGGTGATCTGCCCAAAGTGCTGGTATTACAGGCGTAAGTCACCATGCCTGACCCAGTCTTACAGAATATAAGATAAATGGCAATGTGTGTCAAGTGTTTAACACGAAACACAGTTAAGACTAAAGAAATAGAAGACTACTTTATTTTTCTAAGCTGGTGCTCACTGCAACTTCCAACTTCTGGGCTCAAGCAATCCTCCCACTTCACTTCCGGCATAGCTGGGACTATAGGGGCATCAATGCGCCTGGCTAATTTTAAATTTTATTTTTGTAGAATGGGGTCTTGCTATGTTGCCCAGGCAGGTCTTGAACTCGCAGCCTCAAGCAATCCTTCCACCTCGGCCTCCCAAAGTGCTGCGATTACAGACTAAGCCACAGCACTGGCCATAAGACTATTTTATATTGTCTTGTTACACTCTCATCCCAGGAATTTCATTGGCAATTTAGGTATCAATTTTGACCTCACATGGATTAATTAGAAGTCCGTTGTTTTGTGCCTCCAACACTTAATATTCTCCAAACCCAAATGATCATTCTATTTCATGTTATGACTATCAGCTTACTTTAGCTTTCAACACACACACACACACACACACACACACACACACACACACAGAGAGAGAGAGGGAGAGAGAGAGAGAGAGAAAGAGAGAGAGAACTCACCATGTTTCTAAAGAGGCATGGGTTAGAAATCACATCCTAAATTGCTGCAATAAACCTAATGAGATATTGTTACCACTTACTGGAAAAAAAGGATTCTGGGTACATGTCCCACTGACCACATACTGATGAGACAGGCAGCAAACCACCATTCAGAATTTCAAACGGTAAATATACAGAGCCTCTCTTATGCCCCAACTGGACTGGGGAGTAGGGAGAATAGAATTTTCTGTCTCAAGCACCTTAATGTCCTCCACCCACATTCGAGGCAGAAACTCAGGATCCTGCAAATTCATTCATATTAGTCTCCCACTCCAGTTACCAGAGAAAAACTGGGGTGGGTGGGGATGGGAGAATCAAAACAAATTTCTACTTGGGAAGCTCTACCTCTCCCCGCTCAGTATTCCCCTCCAAATTCCCCACCCTCCCCTTCCTCTTATGTGGGGGTGTCACTCACATCCGCCATGATGAACCCCCTTCTCTCGCAGGATCAATCTCCACGCCTGGAAGAGAAACTCCCGGTGACTCTTCCCTCTTGGCTTCCTCGTCCTCTCTACCCCCAACTTAATGAGAGAGATCAGGCCTGGACAGAACCAGGCAAAACTCCGGCTTGGCCCATCGAGTTCAGTGGGAGTCGGAGTGCCCCAACTCCGCCACGGGTACTCAGCCGGCACGCCTTACCTCACCCCACCCCATCCCTGCCCCTTCACCAGAAAGAGCTAGGCCCAAAGAAAAGAAGAGAGGGTCCTCCCCTTCTGTTTAGAATCACCACCCGCGCCACTCCCGGGACTAGACCTCAAAACCGGGCAAAGCAGCGCCAGTTACCTGGGGTTTCTACGCTGCCTGGTTCTCTCCACTGTCACTTCAGGGACGCTTTAAAGACCGGTTCCTCCTCAAGCCACTGTCACATGATTCGTGACCTCTTCTGTGCCCCAGGAAGCACTAGCTACGCAGTCGCCCCGTAATACGGGATTTCCGGAGGAGCCGGGCGGAAGCTGCGAGCGTGCTGGGCCCGACGGGCCTCGCCCCTCCCCCGCCCACCGCGGACCGCGTCTTGAGCCTGCGCCTTGTGTCACAGGCCGAAGGACGTCAGCTGTGGGGTAGGGAATTTGTACGAGATCGCTGGACTCTAAGAACCCCAGGAAATGCAAGCAAGGCTATGTGTTACAAGGCATTCTTGCGGAGAGGGTTTATAAATGTCATTAGTTTTTCAGGGTCCATTATCTTAAAACCTTTTCTTGTAGATGAAATTTGAGGGGATGGTGTGATGAGCTGAGCAGCAAGCCCCTTCTACATCAGAATTTTAAAAAATTAGTAAGGTCTCATGTAGCACTTTGGGAGTCCAAGGCAGGACGATTCTTTGAGCCCAGGAGTTCTAAACCAGCTTGGAAGGGAGGATCCCGTTTCTACCCCAAAAAAGAATTAGCCTTAGGTGATGTGCGGCCAGGAGGTACTCCGGAGGCTGAGGCAAACAGATCACTTGAGCCCAGGGTTTGAAGCTGCACTGAGTGGTGATCGCCCCACTGAACTCCAGCTTAAGTGACAGAGCGAGACCCTCAAAAGAAAAGCTTCTTTAGAAATCACATTCTCTTTCAGCTACCACCGTTTTTCCGCTACTCCGTTTCACAGCCAATTTTTCAGAAAATTTTAGCCTGGTTTTTAATTGCTGCCTCCATATGTCCCAAATCCAAAGAGAGTTCTGTTGATTCTACCTCCTGAGTATCTTTGAAAACTATTCACCTAACTATATTCCTACCTTAGTCCAAGCCATGATCATCTCTCTTTTGACAATAACCTCCTATCTTTCTTACATTTTCTTTTGCCCTCCAGTCTCCATATAGCAACTAAAATGATGTTCTAAAATCCCAAATCAGATCATGGAACTCCTTCCTTGAAAATCAATTTTGTTGACTTAGAATAAAGATCAATGTCAGCATCATGGTTTATATATCATTCTATGGGGATCTGGCCCCTATCTTAATTCTCTCATTTACCGTGGATCCCTTATGCTATGATCACCCAAGTTTGTTTTCACTTCCATAAAGATTTTTATCACTTTACCAGCTTAGCACATTCTGCCTTACTCCTACTAATCTCACTTTTGAGTGTCAGCTTAAACTCACTCTCAGAGAAGTCTTCCCTGACCCTCACTGAATAGTTTAGATCTTCTAGATAAATGCTCTCATTGTACCCTGTAATTTTCTTTGTAGCATTTATTATAATTATAATTATTTATTTGATATTTATTTTCATTGCTAGATGTAAACTCTTTCAGGTTTTTGTCTTATTCAATGATTAATTCCCAGCATTCAGTTCAATGCCTGGGATATAGCAAGCATTGACACCCTTGTTAAATAGCTAAATGAATGAAAGAGTGGCCATATTAAGAGTATAAAACATGATTTAAAAAAAACCAAACATTTTACAGTGAGAACAGACCTTCTTTTTATTAATATATTGAGATAAACTACAGAGACTGAAAGACAAAAATTTGTATTTCATTCAGCAGAACATTCATTAAAAATCAAATGCATTTGAGTTCTCACAGAAAATTTTATGTAAGTCTGATATAACATTAAATATTTTACAAATCAGACATTTCATTTTTAAATCTAATTTATGATCCTGAATACATTATAGACAAAGTAAGCTCTCCTTTACCAGTTTCATTTAACTTAAAACAAGGCTTCCATTAAAATTCCATCAAACCTTAAAAATTACCTGCAGCTTTTAAAAACGCATAAAGTAAATGGAAGGAGTGTTATGTAGCAATCCAAAAACCAAAAGCAGAAATTGGCAAGAAGCATTTCTTAATACAGATAAACTGCAAAATATCATTTATGTGTGTTTTCTTCTCATTGGTTGAACTGTCCTATTCAAAATAATTATTTTTGAAACTAATAATTACAATACTCCAATGTCATTGAAAATCTCTATGATTTTAATGGTGTACTTAAATGGCAAAGTAGACTATCAGATTGAAATGTACAGAATCTTGTGCTGAAGTGAATGAGACTTGCTCACATCTATGCCAGGTGTCATCTGCTATGCAGTTATGAGACATCTTGGCAACTGGTCATCCCAAATTTTACTAACTTACTAAACAAGGACATTTCAAGAAATACTTCTTACCCCTATATGCTTCCAGATGGCTGGATATAGAAAGATACAATTATGTTTGAAGCATGGGCCTTATAATAGGAATCTCTGCATTAAAATATGAAAAAGAGCAACAGAAAGAATTCACACCAATGAAATTGTGTGGACAGATTTTCAAAGTTAGAAATAAAAATATACACTGCTAATGGAAGCCCTGCTCTGTGCAAACATAGTGTGGTATATATGAAACAATCACGTTTGAGGTATTAGCTGGAAAAAATATATATATATACACCTATACATGGACATATCCACAGAATATTCACAAATCTATTGGCCCCAACACCAGCAGAGTCATATTAAATGAAAAAAATCACATACCAACAGGAAAAAGTTACACATAGGGAATTTACAAAAAATGTGGTGCCACAATCCTTAATATAAGGAGTATGTTTTGAATTGTTTGGAGGAAAAATGTTTCCATTTATATGAAACTATCTATTTAATAGTAATAAAACCAAAAAGGAAGCTGAATTCTAGGAATGTGTTGCCTGCCAAATAACTGAAGGGATGAGCAAGAATTCCTTGAAAAGCCTCATTCTATCCTTTTTCTTTGTAACTTAAAATTACAATTTAAAAAGTTGGAAATTATTGCCAGACTACTTTCTTTTTGTTGGTTTATAGAGAATTTTATGGATTTTAACTAGGCAATAGTCCAATGTGGTCAACACACAAGGTTTTTCAGCTGTTGAATGAAAATTAAAATTCAGATTTATTGTTTTCATTAATTTTTCTGTTCAGATGAGAAAAAGATTACAAATTCCCTTTCAGTTTGTTTCACTCAATATGAAGATGGATAGTAGTAATAGGATAGTACTGAATCCAAGCTTCACATGGGGAAGCTCAACAAATGTACAGATTCTCCTCTTTTAACCATTTGGTCCTTTGACATAAAACTTGCTTAACTGGCAAGATAGCCCACTTGGTCCTCAAGCCAACATCAATAAATATTTAACTGTCTTAACACAGGTGGGAGATTTATTTTTTAATGAAATACATAGGAATCCATTAACATTAGCATGTCACATATGATAAATATCTTCATTTAAAAATATTACAGATCAACAGAAGGGAAATCAAAAAGTTAATCATTTTTCTCAGTAACTACTTCAGTATAATTAAAGATTTAACTGGAAGAAAAATTAAACATAAAAGTATAATTAAAGTAAAAAGCTGGTATTCCACATTTCTGTTCCTATGAACACCTGAGCTGACACAAAAGTTGAGTAGTTTAATGCATTGGCAACATATGCCTTAAGGGCTGTACTTTTCTCTACCAAATCTTTGTAAATCATAAATAAGCATGTAATAATTATGAAACAAATAACTTATTTAGGCATTCAACTGTAATGTTTACAAAATATATTAACTTATTAGATGAATCCAACTTGACATTTTTCATTGTTGAGAATTCAGTTCACTTATTTAATCAAACTACATTCTGAAACTTACAAATGACTAAATGACTAGCACCAGTCTGTTTAGGAACTAAGGAATAAAATAAGAGGAGAAAGGTCTTCATTTCCCCCAAACCCTCAGAAGGACAATATTGTTTGTGTGTATATGCATGTGTGTATTTGTGTGTGTTTATGTAAAAAGGGGTAAAAATGTAAAGCATTAATAAACATAACTGCTGCTAAATTGTTAGAACACCAGTTAAAGGAGCTAAAAAAGCAATATTCAAAGACTGAGGACTTAGATGGTCATTAGAATGAGCCAATGAAATTACGAAGTTCATGTAGCTAAAAATAAGATGGCAAAATGTTGGGACTTTTATTGTAAAAAAGCAGCAAACATGAAAATCTTTTAACTCAAGAAATCTAAACTTTCTTACTTTATACAGTTAACTCCAAATTCTAAGACACTTGTTGAGCTTTTACACCATGATACAGGTGACATTAAGGACTGAATCTTTACTTGCATACTTCATATGTTGCTTAAATTGTCAGGCACTCAGTCTGTCATTTTTCACTGCAGAAAATTTTATCAAACGCATTTTCCCTAACATTTTATGGAATTTAATGGAATGTAGCAATGCAACTGAAATGTAATACTGTCCAAAAGCCATGTATGACTTTATAATATACACTTTATGGTATCACTTAACTTGATAATAACTTCACCTATTCCTTAAAGTTCAGATTAAGGGAAAAAGAATTAGTCAACAAGAAGGTAAGTTCACAGAATTATCAACCATAATAGTGAAAATCTGCCATTAAAATTAGAAAAATAAATAGATGAAATTTTTTATTCAAGTTTTTATAAATTTTCTGATGCATATGAACTTTCAAAGTTAAAATGCTATGAACTTATTTTTTAAAAAACATATTCTACAGGCTCAACAAAACATTTAAAATTGTATTTTCACTTTAGCCCTGCTTTTTTTTTAAAGATAACATATCTAAGAGCAAGTTGGTTAAGCTGTCCAGATTTCCTATGACAGTATGTTTAGTTTAACCTACTAATTCAATCAGGCATTTCTGTTGATTCACTTGGAAAAGGGGATACAACATAACATTTTTACGAGGTCATTTTAGCAGTTTTATTCAACAGATGCCATAAATTAACTACATTCAGAAAAATAATTTAAACAAAGAACAAAGCCACCCTAGCTAGCATTCTCTCACTCACAAAAAAGTACCAAAGATATATTTATGTTCCATTAACTGAGTATAAATCAAAATCATTAAAATATTACAACTGTTAAAGACAGAAGACTAGAAATTAAATAGTTTCATACCTAGTATACAGGCACCAAAAACTTCAATTTCCAGCTGTTTGTTTTTTCTAATTCATATTATGGATTTACTTACAAGGGGCTTATTCCTATAGGATTAATTCAATTACTCAATAGTGCATAGATTTTAGCTCAGAATTT